AAAGTTGGGATTTATTTTTTTTTCTGATGCCCTAGCATAAATAGAAGCAAATAAAGTACTTTGAATGTGACCCTGAAAGTGCTGACTCATTAGAATTTGTGCTTTAATACCTTATATTCGCTTCCAGGCCGTCCAGTGCCCCGTCACAGTAAGCTCTCGGTATGCATACGACACACTTGCTCACTCTTTCTAGTATCTCCTGCAAGGGCTTGTATTTTAAACTGAGTAGACAGACAGTGCTCAAGGGAAGAAGTGTCCCATTTTACAGATGGGGGACTGTGATACAGATGGATGCATTTCTAAGTAGCTTTCTGAACATGCAGGTATTTGCATACTTGTTCAGAACATCTGTGACTTCAGGTTTACAGGGCTTTTCAGGACTTAGTATATTGTACAACACCCTTTTCCCACGCTATCTCTCTTTGATTCTTCACCTCCCGCAAGAAAATATTTCACGACAGACCTTTGAACATACAGGGGATGCTCTGTGTCCATGGGCTGAAATGTGTGGGCTCCGTTACAGGCTGGGGCTGCCACACAGGATGGATCATTGCATGGTGTACTGAGAAGGCTGACTTTGAGGTTTCTCGTGTAGATGATGTTTTGCTAAATTCTTACCGCATAGCTTATCATCTCTCCTTGGCAGGCTTCCCATCCATCTGCAAGGCTGGGTTTTTGCTTTGTTATCTCTGAGCATTTCTTACAGGACGGCGTACGACAGTAAAACCCTGGAAGTCGTCAGTGATCTGAATTGCAGCGATGAGACGTAATGAGTTTAGAGTCCTGCTCTTTCTTAGCATCTTGTTCATGATGGCAGCGAATCACATCTGTCACCAGGATATTTTAAAATAGTATGATTTGGAATAGCAGATTTCTCTTTTTATCACTGACACTGCTTTCACTTGAAGATTGCAGCATGAGGTCGTGCTGAATCCCTGGTGCAAATGGAGTAGGAGAAGCGTCCTCTCCTGTGCCAAGGTTGATTGTGCAGGGGAAAGAGGGAGTGCAGCGGGATGCAAACCACCTCAGGTGGGACTAGAAGGGATGGAGAGGACTGGCAGATGTCACGTCCTTGTCTGTAGACACTAGTTGCAGAAAACATGCTGGGAGATCCAGCTTTGGGCATGTTGCCACCTGCGTGCTTCGCTGCGCAACAGAGAGGTTAAGAAAAGGATTGCAACTCTTTGATGCAACGAAATCGCATGAAAATAAGTTGGGTATTCCAACCTGTGAGGCAACTTTGACATCATTTCACTATGTAGAGGATGTTTCCTAAAAGACCGATCCCACAGCGTGACAACATGCTCATGGAGAGAAGCTATTGGATTGTGGATGTTTTGGAAAGCCTGGTTCTGAGTTAGGTTTCATTGCTCCCTACCCAACAGAAATTTGACATTGGGTGGTTCATGGTAACAGAGACTAAATCAGACCAGCCACAAGGTCACCAACTGCAGATGAGACTTCGCCTCACAGAGAGAGTCTGAGCTCATTCTAATTTGGTTTGTGTGTTTTGTACAGCTCTCCTATTGAAGCAAAACGCAATACTGAACACGAAAACATTTCATTGACAGGAACGGAGTTTTAGAAGTGAGTTACTCCAAGCAATTACTTAAAAATACAGTCTTTATAAATAACTATAAATTGATGAACAAACAAACAAACAAATCAGGTATATTGTCTACCAAACCTAGTTTGGCCCGCTCTAGTTCATAGCCAGAAATTATTCACTTCATGCTTCACAGTCATGCTTAAAATAATCAGCAATCCACTTGTCTCCCAGGTATGTTATGAATGTCTGAGACACATGCAAAAATAAAAGCATGTTTTATTTATTCAGTGGCTCACTCTTCTTTAAATCAAATGATGGAAGTTTTACCTGAGTAAATGCTGAATACAAAAGAGAGTGAAATTTTTGAATCTCACCCCTGCTGCACTGGTGAGCAACTCAGCTGCTCTGAGCCATATGTGTGGAGACCTGGCCATCTAAAGATCAAATCGGGAAGCACGGCCATGGTTTGGTTCTGTACTCTCTCCAGGTCATATGGCTTAAGCTGAGTTGAGGAGCTTGGGGAACAGATCCAAATAACTGGGCTGAGGACTGTGGGTTTGATGTAGTAGGTGAGCCTTTCTTCACAGCACGCAGCAGTCCCTGCAGGAGGAAAGGGTGGAAGGATCCACACAATCAATCCACCCTTCAGTCTGCTCTGACCTGAGTAGTGTCCTTTGCTGTGTCCCTAGCGAGGGTCCCGCTGCCGAGAGCCTCCTTTGGCCTGCGTGGCACAGACACTGCGTGACAAAACAGATCGCACGCTTCAGTTTATGACATGAGAAACAGTTGGCTTATCTGATGGGATTGTTTAACAACATGGAATTAGCATTTCTTGGTATCCCCATTCAAGTGTAAAGCTGCTTTTCCGTTTATCCAAAGAAGTCAGAATTTGCAGTTTTCCCATGTGGATGCATTGCTTGGTACTGGCCCCTAATCCCTGTCATGGAATATTTTAGTTTGGAAAGCACCTCTGGAGATCATCTGGGTCATCTTCAAAGTTGGATCGGGAGCACAGGGCCTTGTCACCCCTAAGGCTTTTATTTCAGAGCGCAATCTGAGCAAAGAAGCTCCAAGGATTTTCATTAAAAGAGGATGCATAATGATGTAGTAGTTGAGAACAGCATGGAAATTAGAAAAGGCAAACAAATTACAGACGTTGCATCAGACCCTGCTAATCCCTCTCCCCTGCACCTACAGCACTGGGCTTCAATATTGGTTTTTCTAAAGACACTCACGTTTTATCAGAGGAGAAACATCAGAGAGATTTCAAATTTCATTCAGGTGAATATCTAATTTGCATCCATTTCAGTCAGTTCAGAAGCCCGTATCTTTGGTTTCTTCTAAATTCACTGCTATTATACATCAGAGCTTTACATTTAGACTATGAAAATCCTGAGGTCTGGGCAGTTTGCATATGCGTCTTCAGAGATTAATCACCAATGCTCTGGCTGACTGGGGCTGTTATGAGCAATGCCTGCTGCTGGCTTTTTTAGTAATGGAAAGGTTGGTTTGCAGCAGAGCTGCAGATATTCAGCACTTTGCAGGTCTCTCCTGGATACCTCAGAGCGTTTGATCTCTGGGATGCGTATGAAAATACAAACCCAGCATTTGTTAATTAGCATCACAACAGCTTTTCACATTTTTCTGAGAAACAGTCTCGTATTCAATTCAGTATCGTGGGAACTACTTTTGAGGACACATCAGCATTTCGCAGGCAGGTGCCAGAGGAGTCATTCAATAATACAAAACTTAAATATGTCATAAATACAATAACTTGGGGAAATGTCATTTTGGCACAATGTGTCTTTGCAAAAGTGTGTAAGAATAAAGCCCGATATACAGAAATACCCGTGACAATTTTAAAGCATTAACAACTATTGTATTTACATTAACGCTGGCGAATTCAGAAACGCCAACATTAATGCCATTTAAAAAATATTACAGAAAGACAACGTTACAGATGAAGCAGCGTGACGCTTTGAAACACTTTACAGAGTCATAAATAAACATCCAACCGATTCATAATCGTTGTCTGTTTTACTTTGCTCACATAAAAGTATAAAGAAACTCTTTAGATAAACCTCGTTGGGTTTCTATCATTCGTATTTTTCAATTTCTCGTTTGAAGGCACAGGAAACTGCCATCAATAATTTATTTATAGTGAAGGTGACAGCAGCAATGATGCAGTCAGTGCCAGCGCAGTCTCCTGTGTGCACCCCCAGCGTGTCCGAGGGGGTCCCCATGGATGGGGAGAAGGGACTGCATCCCTCAGGCTGCCAGCCCTTCCTGCTCAGTAAGGCACTTCACTCTTCCACAGACTCCTACACACTAAAAGCTGGATCAGTACCAAAAGGGAAGCTTTAACTTGGGCAGAAATTAAATACAAGTTCAACAACTGGTCAGAGATAGCATAAAAACAGTCCCTGACACCACTCAGAAATGTATAAGTGTATGTTTTGTAAAATTTATACATTTTCTATATACTCCAGTGCATTCCAGATTCAATTGCAAAACAAATAAGATGTACTAATTGTAACCTGTCAGGCATTACATTTAATCGTGCACTTCAAGAATTTCAGGACAGTGCAGGATCTTGGCTCGTACAGCAGAAGTACTGTTGCTCTGTGTTGTCAGGCCAGTTGTGCCCTCTAATTCTCCCCAGAGTGTTCAAGGTAGATAAAGCTGCATAGTGAAGTATTAGGAACATTTTCAAGGATCCTGTTGAAAGGCTTCCTCATTTTCTGTATTTTCCACTGGTTAACCACAAACGTTAACAACAGAGTTTGTGTATGACAATCTGAACGTGCACCTCCTCAAGAACTCAAGATTTCAACCGGATCTTGGCTCGTACAGCAGAAGTACTGTTGCTCTGTGTTGTCAGGCCAGTTGTGCCCTCTAATTCTCCCCAGAGTGTTCAAGGTAGATAAAGCTGCATAGTGAAGTATTAGGAACATTTTCAAGGATCCTGTTGAAAGGCTTCCTCATTTTCTGTATTTTCCACTGGTTAACCACAAAACGTTAACAACAGAGTTTGTGTATGAAAATCTGAACGTGCACTTCCTCAAGAACTCAAAATTTCAACCATAAGAATGAGCCCTACATTGTTCTCCTCAGCAAGGCTTGTTTTTTGTCCAGCTCAGAAGACAAAACCGGCTCTAGATTCATATGAGGAAAAGAGCTAGCTCAAAAAATAACCTTTTAAGACTTCCTTCTGAGTCGAAGCAAATGACTTGGTTTATTCCACGTGTCCTTAGCAAAGCAGTATTTTCACCAGTTATACTGGTGGGCAAACTTTATCGGAGGAGACAAAGAGAAATAAGGAGCATGGCTCCTGTAGCGTCCTCAAGGAGTTGGTGGCCCATGAACTACGACAAAGCTTCCTACGGACGTCCACACGGAAATACCTGTGTGCTTCAGTCTGCAGCATCTTATTTGTGCCAGCAGCTAACTGCTAGCTGCCGTCTCCTTGGTTTTTGCCACTGTTGCAGGTCTTCTGAAGGTCAGATGAATCTGGTATTTCTTTGTGTCCTTCTCTTGGCCTGCCTTCCTGTGATTCTTTGGACATTTTCAATTTTACGCTGTCATTCTTGGGACTAATGGATGAATTCGATCTCCATCCTCTGAGAGCCCTACAGAAATCTTTTCTGACGTTTTCGCTAACCAGCACGTAGATGATTGGATCGGCAACGCTGTTTGCAGTGGCTAAACACAGGAACACTGTAAAAATGGAATAGATGTCTCTCTCAAACGGACAAGAGCAATTTTGATGAAACATGAAGTATATGGATCTTATAATGAGTACCACGTGGTAGGGAGCAAAGCAGATCAGGAAGATGACGATAATGGCGATAGCGAGATACTTCACTTTGGCCTTTTGGCGACAAGTCAAGCCGCTGCTTGTTTTTGTGCTTTGGAAAATTTTGTAGTTTGTGAAAATGAGAATTGTGAAAGGTATGGCAAATCCAAACAGGAATCTGGCAAAGCTGAAAGAAGCCAATTCTACATTAAGGGGTAAAGTCTCAAAGCACGTCCAGGTCTTATCTAAATCTTTCGTCTTAAATACTGGAGTGTGGATTATTGCAACCACAGCAAATAGAAAACACACTATTACGGTTGCCTTCTTCTGTCCTCTTCTCCCCCTTGACTCCAGAGCATACACCACAGCCACGTAACGATCCACAGAAATGCAGCACAGAAGCAGAATGCTGATGTATATGTTGCAGAAAAAGATGAATCCTGTTATTTTGCAAGCCATTTTACCCATATTCCACTGGTGGTCATTTTGCACGTAGATAATCCAGAAAGGCAAGGTACTTAAGTACATCAGCTCACATAACGATAGGCTGAAAATGTAGATGGCAATTACTTTATTCCTTCGGATTTGTACATACGTAAGCAGGGAAGTGACGCAATTTGCTGGAAGGCCTATGGCAAAAACAATGCTGTAAACAGCAACCAGGAGTGTCTTGCTGTCTTTGTAGGGAATTCCTTTGCAAACGGAGCCGTTACTTATGTCTGTACAATTTTCCATTATTCTTCCAGCTGATGTTTCCTAAGAATCAGAAGACAAGGGGGAAAGTTAGCATTTGCATCGCGTACAGCTGTATCCATGATAGCTGTTCTGTCCATGGAGGATAGAACAAGGGGAAACGGCACCAAGCTGTGAAAAGGGAGGTTCAGCTCAGAGATAAGGAGGAAGTTCTTTACTGAGAGGGTCGTCAGAAGCTGGCACAGGCTGCCCAGGGAGGTGGTGGAGTCACCATCCCTGGATGTGTTTAAAGAGTGGGTAGATGAGGTACTTAGGGATATGGTTTAGGGGGTAGACAGGAGCGGTTGGACGTGATGATCTCAGAGGGCTTTTCCAACCGAGCCATTCTGTGATTCTGTGATAAAGGCTTTGGTCCCTAAGGTGCCAACAGGACGTGTTGGGGAACAACAGGACGTGTTGGGGAAGCATCTAAGACAGGCGTGTTTTCCTGTAGTGTCCCCTGGGAGTCAGGTCTGATTTACTTCCAGGTGAAAGAGCCTTTCTTCACAAGGAATTTATTGACTACAGCATGCCAAGTCACTAAAACAGGGCTTTGGGGACTCTCCTTAAACCAGGCTTCCTTATAAATAATACAGAGCAGCTAATCAATTACTAAAGTCACTTCCCAGAGAAAAATAAGGGCATTAATCTTCAATTTTATTTTTTTTTTCAAAACTGAGTAACAAAAGTTGCAAACCATAGATATTTCAGAGGCAGACTTCCAGAAGAAGCTATCATTTATGCTTAGTCAAATGGGGAACCATCCAAAGTGTATGATGGTAGTTGTTGTGTCAGAGGCTGCCCAGCATGGAGGAACCAGAAGCTGGCCACTGGTGCGTACCTCCACGCTGTATTACAGCGGGGTGGTTCAGATCTGGCTATATATATATATATATATATACACACATACTTGTGTCCTCCCTCCTCTTAATGAATAACTGCAGGTCAAGAGCATAAGCTTGTAGTGCAGTAAGCACCGAACATGGTAAGCCAGCGGAACTGCCTACCACATCTGTTCGATGTCTCTGGGAAACAACAGGAAATAAAGGCAGTTAGCGGAAGTGAACAAGACCAAAGAGAAGAATATACACACGGCTAAGAAATGGAGGTGAAGAAAATTAATGTTCTTTGAACAGTTGTGGTTGGAGAAAACTCCACCTTTCCAAGATAACCATACACAAGAGCAGACCTGGCCTCTGGTTAGTGTTAAATAGTGCTGGAGAAGCATTTGTTGCAAAGTCACATAATGATTTCCATGCAGAAATCTTCTCCAAGTGAAGACAGCAATATGGAGGTGGGTGCGCCTTAATGGTGTTGTGTGCCTTTTAAAATTGTACTTCGTTGTACTTATGAGTTGAAGGTGTCCACTGTATAACATACTTGATAAAAAAAGGTCTTGTCTAGCCTAAGCCTTTGGTCATTCTCTTACGGAGTGGGCAGCAGGGAACTGAGCTAACTCCACAGGGAGGAAATGTGTTAGCAGTGATTGAGTCCCTTCAGACAGAGGAATGCCATGAGCTTTCCTGATCCACGCTCTGCATGAGCAGCTTCTTTGGCCCTGAGTTCATGCAGGGGAGAAGTTTGCTTTTAGCAGCCCCAGAACATTTATTTGTTGCTTGACTTGACAAGCTGGTGGGGCCATTCCTTCCTCTCCACGTGGGCAAGAGCAGTCCTTGGGGTGGCACAAGCAGCTCCACCCTGAATGCCTGACAAGACCATCTGCCATGCAAGATTCCTAGAGCCTGAAGGGCAATCAGGTCCCCTGTCTTGGTTTAGTTACCAGGTGATGAGGATGGTATGAGAAAATGGACACGGCCTGTGAGACCTTCAGAGCAGCACAGTGCTAGCCACAGCCATAAACACCAAGGGAGGTTCTCCTGGCCCTTGCCAAGAAGTTTTAATTTCCAGCAAATGCCCCAAAGTAGTCAGAACCGATGGGACAGAGGCAAGTGGTACTTGCTGTCCCCATCCCCAGTGGCAGCGTAAGCTGTCCCCCAAGGTGAGGACGTTTGGAAGCGGCCTCCAGAAACAGAGGAACTGAGAAAGTGTGTGCGTGTACACCGTGCTCTGCAGCTACCTTCCACTTCCCCCTGTGGCAAACCATGCTCTGCTTGGGTGCTGATATGTTAACGAGTGTCAGCGGGCAGTGGTCACTGTGCTAGTTGGGCCCAAGTGTCTTGCCAGAGGGCCACATCCCTCCACGTCTGAGAACTGGATCTTCTGGTGTCTGTGTTCAGAGCCTCTCAAGGAGGATCTGACGTTTCCTTTAGTTTCCAATGTCCCTTCTTAAGAGCGACTGGAGAAGAGAATCCTCACTGCCGCGTGGGGAGGATGGCACAGCGCTCAGCAGGGCTGCAGCAAGGTTTCTGTGTGAGAAGGTGTAAAATTACTTCCCTTCTTTCCTAGCAGTGAAAGTGTACTGATAGCTGGTGTTGACTGAGACAAATGATGGTTGCGGTAAGGGCTGGTGGTGACTTGACTTTTTTGCTACCTCCAGGCATCTGCCACACTTGCTGGATGAGGTGGGGCCTTCTCCGGGCCGCCCACCAAACTGCTGTGTAGACAGTTCTTCATTTCAGGATCAGCAGCAGTTTTCTCTGCTTCAAGTCCCCTTCCTGTGCTTAGCATCCATGAATGAGCCTCAGGAAGGCAGTGCTTGTGACCTTTTAAGCTTCCTGCATGGGACATGCTTTTTTTTTTCCTTGGCTTTTGGTGTATGGCCCAAGCCACAGGGCTGAGGCTGAGCTGAAGAGACCTTCACCCTTAAATGACCGTCAGTTGCCAAAGCCAAAGCTTCAGCTGGCAAAGTGCAGCCGTAGACATGGATTTACGCTTGTAGAGAAAAACTGTGAGCTAAATGCCTCTCCTCAGGGTCTGGCCTGTCATCTCAGGAGTCTGGATCCTTCTCAGCAGTAATGCTCCATGTCTCAGCCCTACAGCAGGAAAGAGGAGAGGAGGACATCCATTTGCTCCCTCACCTTCTCCTTGCTCTCTGTCCTGTCTAGGGAAGAGTCTTCTGGCCCTGGCCACTGCATCCAGCCCCACTTCTGAGCTCCACTTGTCTCTGCGCAGCTCCCCAGGCCTGTGGAGGGGTTTTCTCCTTAGGCTGAAGATCGGAAAGCAGCACTCAGCAGACAACTTACGAAACATCTCCCTGTGACATTGACCCTCTGCAACTGAATCCATGTTTTAGTCCTGTTTTGAGGCCTTTACAGTTTGCTGATTTGATCCTTGCCTCAGCCCAGGAGATTCCCAGTTCTGTCTTCTGTGGTGGCTGGGCTGTGATGGCTGCATCCCCACATCTCTTGAATGGGGCATTCGTAACTGTACTGCTTTATCTAAAGAGGCACCTACATTGGTGCAAGACTGGAGCAGGCTAACCTGCATCTCAGATAGTAATTCAAATATAAGAATAATTACACAGCTGAAAACAAAGCTGGATTAATTTTCTTAGTTTCTAGTATTCGTGATGAGCAATTTTAGTGATAGAAACATTGGCTGGAACAGCAGAGCTCAAGAGGTTTATCACATCCAGCAATTTTCAAGCATTTATAAAGGGTCAAACATAGCTGTGATGCCAAGGATGAGCCATATCCATGAAGGCATTCATGAGAGACAAGCTGTTTCAATGCATTAGTTTTCTTAGTTGTCCTGCAGCTTTCAGTTGAGCAAAGCCTCTCTGAAGTAGCTGTTCTCACCTTTCTGTGACCCATCCTGATAGGGCTCACCAACCATTACTAGATGCTACATCAAGTCCTAGCTGTGTTTTGCATCAACAGCTCAGCGTATATTTAGCTCTTTGCTCCATGGGGCTCACTGCACATGACAAACCGCAGTCAGCACATGCAGATTTTTCTCACCTTCAAGACGTGCAAAACATCTCATCATCCAGTGATGCTCTGTGTCACCTCTAGCTCAGGAAGCGCCTGAGCACGAATCACTGGAAGATGGAGTAATCCACTGAGGAAGACTGGCTGTGTGCCTGCTCTGTATTTACATTCTTCCCCAGACGCCTCTTCTTGGCCTAGGTTATAGCCACAGTTTTGGGGTAGGTCGGCCTGGTATTTCTACTGACGCTGTGCTATGTTCGCACTGTTAGATCAATAGCTAATTACATTTCTTACTCGTAAAACGGAGTGCCTACGTGCTCTAATGTATTGAGACCTTATGGAGAGAAAAACCTGGAAAAGAGCAGGGCGCAGGAGATGCCCAAGTGAAAAGAGCTGTGGATGGACATGAAATCCCATTTTCATGGAGTGTGGTGAGAAAGCAGCAGAAGTCTCCTGCTGCTGACCCACCAAGCAGGGCTGTGAAACCAGACCAAGACTGACTGTCCTTTCCTCACCTTCCCTTTGATCCAGTGCACCTTGCATTCTTCCTGGCAGGTGGCCTGGATTCACCGGGAGGAATGGAAAGGTGCTTTTTCTTAGGCTTTCCTAGAAAGCAGCAGATTTCACAGGCCAAACTGGTAGACACCAGTCTAGAAATCAGCTCTTCCATCGTGTGGACAGGGGCCAAAGCACTGCTGTGTTGTGCAGGAGAGCCTGTGCGATGATCATCCGTCCTCTCTCCTACCCAGCACCAGGGAGCATTGAACTGTACTGCAGAGGTGCCCTACACAGCTCACGGGAGATGAAATCATGAACCTGGGATGCTGTGAGGTTGTGGTTGCATATCACAGCCATGCCACAGTAACAGCCTGGCCGTCACCTTCTCTTCTCTCTGCCTTGTCCCTGCCCAGCAGGACGCCTGACCCTGCACTGAACGATCACAGAATGGTAAAGCCAGCAGAAAACTTGTCCCTTTTTTCTGTCTGGGTCAGTTGTTCACCAGTTGACCTTTCAGAAGCAGCTCTCCAGGGTCAGAGCAGCACCGGGGCTGGCAGAAGGGAATTACTGGGAAGCAGCACATGGGCAGGAGCGGAGCAACCAGAGGCAGATGGAGATAGGGGTTGTGCTGTGAGCTGCACCCTCCCTCAGTCTCCAGAGGCACTGCTGATCTCT